GAGTTGCAGCAGACCTGTAGTTTTGTGGGGAGTTTGTTCCAGATATGTGCTGCATACATACTGAGAGCTGCAGTTTATAATTCATCTTTTGATACATCGTTTGTATCTTTATGGTAAGTCCATTAGGACACCAACTTTTTCTAAAAGACAGTGATTCAGTGCAGCATATACACTGTCAAACTAAGAAAATCCATTAACTAAAGCATCTTTGACATTCTTATCCTCAGACTATCATTAAATAGTACAGACCTAAACCACAGACAAACACTATAGTATAAATATAGTATATATATAGTATCTAAATACATACTGTATATTACTGAAAAATCTAAATAAATTTGAATTAAACAGTCTCTTACCTTCTTTTCCAGGCTTTTGAGACTAACTTAAATACATAGTAACTAAAAATCTATTTCAGTTTTTGCTCATCAGTAAACCAGAATATTTCAGGCTTTTGTTGATTGAAGGAACATTAACTCTCTTAAATCATCATAATTTGTGCACTACAAAATAAGTTTTCCACAGTTTTACAGATCTAAATATTTAAAACCTGACTAAATGAAATTATTATGACTTGACATTACAGCTATTAAAGGAGAGAATTTCTATTTGCTGTGATGAGGGATTTTTTTTATCATGGTATTTATGTATTTATATATCATTTATTAAGTCATCAGTAGGAACCAAAGACCAACAAGCTTTTTCAACAAAATGTCATGTTTGATATCGTAAATCATATTATGACTGGTCAGTCTTGATTTGCCTAGCATAGGCCAGTTATTCATTCTGCATGCACAAATCCAAAATGAAACAGGTGGTAATGCGCACTTTGATGCATCCAAATAAAAACAATGATGAGGTATTTTACATGAGCTCAAATTGTATAGTCTATTTGAAATCGGAATTTCTGATCGCTCTGAAGTTGCTTTTCATTTGTTTGAAATTAAATGTTACTTTTTAACTAACCAGGTATATTACATTGTAATGTTGATATTCACCTTCGGTCACCCTGCGCTCTAAATATTGGCATTGGCTATTAAAAAACCAATATGGCTCAACTACTAAAACTGAATGAGAACATAGTATTTTAACAGTACTTTGGAAAAGCAGGCGAAAGGCAGCGCAGTCTGTAAAAAACACAGTGTGACTTTAGACTCGTTGACTACACCCTGAAGCTTCGTTACGTTTCAGCAGGACTGTCAGGCCCATGTCGGCCTATTTGAGCAGGGTGTGCGTTCTCCGCAGAACGCAGATGCATTGCTGTCATGCAGATCATCTCGTGCTCCACAACTAATGAGATTAAAACGCCAGCACTCCACAGTCAGACTTGTCACTTCAACATAAGTCAGAGGACGTGTTTAAATTGCTTTAGGTGTCATATTATATCTGGACACATAAGCAGCACAGGATTAGGGGATTATCGGCACCCATGCTGAAAATGAACTAAATAGGCAGGTACATATTTTTACATTCTGTTATATTTTATTATTTGTTTATCTCCGTATCACCATAGGGACAAAGCAGAAGATAATATTCCCATGCGTCCCGGAAAACCTTGACATCTTGATGGTAGTTTTCCATTCATGGAAACACCTGGAAGTTGATTAAAATGACCAAATATCCTGGAAATAATCTAAATTGTCCTAGAAACTCTTTTCATTTAGCCCCTCACTCAGCTCACCTACATAAACCTGGCTGCGTATTTTATTTGAAACTCTACTCTTGGTAGGATACTGTATCAGACACTTCAAAGCTACATGCATACAGCCTAATGATGATCACATTTCTTGTTGCTGTGATAAATACATGCACAGTGATGTTAATTGTATGTGTAATGAACACTTTAACTTCCTAGAAGATTACTTTTAATATAATTTTCTACTTGATTTGAACTTTGTTACTTATGGGCTGTGGCCAAATTAATGTAGTCAATTTGCCCGAAGCACAGTTTAATGTGTCATTTTTGGAAAGGTCCTGGAAAACGACTTGTGAAAAGTGGGAACCCTGTTGTTTAAATTTTTCTAAATTGTAGGAAGCCTTTACGAGTCACATGCAGTCTAACTTATTTGATGCTGGTCTTAAATTCTGAGGGTCATGTGGAAATACAGTACAGTAACATACAGATTCATTCTTAATTTATAATGAGGGCAAACCCAGAATTGGGGTACTCCATATAATCACATTTCTCTGAGTAACGAGAGATTTCAAATAAGACTTAAATGGGGAAAATTCTTTTCCACAGCAAAGCATACAGTGAAAACAGAGAACGACAGACGGCGGTAAAAAGTTCAGACCAGCTCAACGAGGCCTCTTATTTAAGGCGGCTATGGCTGCAGGGGAGTAGACATGCCCCAAAGCGAGCCATTCTGCACCTCAGGGCTCTGTACCTGCGGCTGTGTGAAGTCTTGTGCTGTTGAGGCAATGCAATGCATGCAATGGCCTTATCAATTCCCTCTGCGAGGTTGTGTGGGGAGAGCAGGGGCGAAACACATTCATTTACATACATTTAAAAAAAAAAAAAGGTGTTAAAAAAGGGAATTGTAATGATCCCTCATGGCCACATTTAGACTCAGTGACAGGGTTAAGTTCAATGATAAAGAATTTATGTATTTCGAAATCAAACAATTTATTAATTTCTAATGCCACCTTTAGTTATTTCTATTCAGTGCTTTACTAATGTGCCACAATAATGTTTCTAAGTTTGAATATCTTCATTTGGGGGCTTTTCCAAGCAAGTATTAATGTATGAGATTGTTTATGATATATATATATTTCTGCTACCCCTTAAAGTCTCCCTGCCACCCTCTGGACACCCTATCAATATTTCTCTAGATCCGTCCCTGGTGGACATAGCATACAGCCTATTATACAGCCATGTTGGTTTATGCGTGTGAGTTTGGTCTGATTAGTAACACATAATGTGTTACAGAAGCAGGTGGAATGGTACAATACTAATAGCTTGATGGCTAACAAATATACTTTATGTGTACAAAATCAATTTCAATTGTTTTGTAAATCATGTGGAAACAGTGTTTTAATGACACTTTTTAGAAAACTGTGATAGTGCTGAAAGTTAAAACATGAAAAAGCTTAGTGACATTCATATTCAGTCACCTGCTGTGGACTCTGGCACCAAACTCTGGGCTTGCTTTGGCGTGTTCTAAAGTTTTATAAGAAAACCAGTGTAATGGGGAACAGTGATTCAAATTGTGACATTGAAGAGCTGAGTATTTGTAAGTCGTATTAAACAGAAAACTAAATTGTTTCATTCGGTCAGTCTTCAAAATAGATCAGCTTCTGTGGTCCAGAGTCTGTATGAACCCTGATGATCTGTATTTCTTCATAATCCTGCACAACAACTGTATTGATCGTGCCTTTTCCCAAAGACGTGATGGTGAGCATGCAGACTGGCTCCGATTCAGAGAGTTCATATAAGTATAAGCAGCAGGGATTTTAAAGCCAAAACTGCACGTATCTTTACTCAGACTTCACCATGTGTTCACACATTCACATGTTTGTGGCCCACCTCTATGATCCATTAACCGGCAAGATGTTCAGTGCGTCTGTATTTGGTCATCTTAAGAAGATCAGAGGCATCTAGGTGATTAAATCTTCCCCAAAATGTCTCTAAAAGAAGCTTCAAAGAAACACAGTCTACATTGTGATTGTGATGTATCTTTCCCAAAATGCAAAATGAACTGCAGTTAGTTAGATAAACTTTACAAAGGACCACAAATACTTTGATGAGTGGTTCAAAAAATCAAATTTTTCCATTAAGACTTGTCTGCTAATGATCTAATTCAGACATCAAACAACACTGGGTTTTCTTAGCAGACAGGATCAGATGAGACTTATATCTGTAATAGTTTTAGGGCAGAATTACATCTAGGTGTATGATCAGTTCTTCCTCTATAATCAGTTTGGAGCTCTCTCCATGCTGCTGGAAAATAAATTAAATTTAACGTAATAAGCTCTAATATCTGGGTAGAACACCTGAGTATTCTGGGTTCACAGGCTCAGCTGTTAATTGTCACCAATATGATTCAATGTATTTCTTGGTCATCCTGTATGCTTTGTACAAGTAAAGGCATAACCCTCAGTGCATTTGTTATCTCTCTGGTATAATGTGTTTTAACACTGAGATCCAGTTTAATTGGTTGGTAATTGAAAGGGAACTTTAATGAACCAGTGGCATCTTTGACAAATGTCTTAAGCATGAGTGCAGATGCTAAATCAGGCTTTGTGTGTATATATACAGTAAAATTATTTTACTATTGCACTTATTATGATTTGTTTCTAAGCTGAAGCACTTATAATAAAATCAATAGAAAAAAAGATGTTTAAAATATCAGAGAAAGCACTAGTACAAATGAAAAGTGACAGAAAACACATAAATAAATCAAATTGATGACTTTTTAAAGATTGTTTTGGGGGCTTTTTATGCCTTTATTTGATAGGACAGGTGGAGATACACAGGAAAGGGGGAAGAGAGAGAGAGGGGGGACAACATGCAGCAAAGGGCTGCAGGTTGGAATCAAACCTGGGCTACAATCAGAAGCTGATGCTTTAGGGTTTGTTTTTACTGAGTGACAACAGGTTGTTCTGTATGATGAAACGGTGTTACATTATTAAAGAAAGCATAAAGAATCCCAACATCCTCGCCATAAGGCTTATCCCATCTTTATTGAACAGGAAGCCTAATCAATATGGCTGAGTATAGCTGTGTGGAGGATAATAGGTGTATTATCTGACACGGATCATGCAATGTGTCGCTCAGCGTGTCGCTCGCGTGTCTCACATTGTGGGGAAACAGTATTGATTTTGAGAACAGCCGTTTGTATGTTAGACGGAAAAGTTTCCCAAAGAAAATAGCTGTATTTTGTAAGAATTCAGTGTAAAAAGTAGGAAATGTGGTTAATATAAAAAAATAAAAACAGTTTTAAAATATGCTTCAATATATTTTTAGAATAAAAAAGACTTATTTATTTTTCTATCTTATTTTCTTAAATAAAAGTAAAATTTCAATGAATTACTAACTAAATATAGTTTATTCTCTGGATTTCATTTGCCCAGTAATCTGTTTTTTATTTTGTATATTGTTCTTTTTAAAAACTGTAATTCCCACTGTGCTCGGTCACAAATAAATACAGTGAATACACATTACAGTCTTAATGGTGAGAAGTCAGGGTTATGGTTGTGTAAAGCACAAAACCCTTCTTAAGATCTTCTGTGTTAGAACATTCACTAAATAGTTGGCAGGAATAATGATATGTCACTGACCTTTGTGAGCTTGTTCTGATTCTATTTAAAATACCCACAGGATAAGCAAAGGGGTTAATGCACAGAGGTAAAAGGTTCAGGGGTTTAGGAAAGGTATCAGGGGCAAGAGAGCTACCAATTCTTACATGATATGAGGACCGGATCATCAAAAGAGGCAGTTAAAGTTTTGTTCCTGGAGCTTTTATGTGCTGTCTTTGGAACAATTTTCCGCTCTGTGGATGTTATGAGACGGTATTTACTGTAGGTGCAACACGCAGAGGTCTTAATCTGTGACATCGCCACTGTCTGTGGAACAACAAGGATTTGTGGAGTGTAAGATTAGAGCTCTACGTCGTCATAAATCTCTGCTTCCCAATTCGACCGGGTGGTGGCGGGTGGGGCGGTGGCTAGGTGTAGTCTGAGGTCTGTAGAGTTTGTGGATGAAACGTTTGTGCGTCTATGTGGGGTCAACCTCCTATGAAGTTTTTTCATACCTCGGTCACATTCACATGGCTTGATGCTCTCTCTTAGACCTGATTTTTATTTTTAAACTCGCTTTTTCTTTTTTGAGATAGTTTCGACGCAGAACTTTTTATGGTGCTCTGCTGTGGTGCTTTCCATGATGAACTACTGCATACCAGACATGTATGAGATGCCTCACGCCGGGGTGGGAGGCTACGGGATGCAGGGCGGTGGGGAACACTGCATGTACCCAGGTGAGGGGCCCGGGTACGGACACTGTGAACCCCAGCCGCTGCACCATCCGCCCTGCATGGAGCAGGCTTGGCCACCCAGCCAGCATTACTCCTGCTCGTACGCCGGCAGCCCTCCGGTTTTTAAGAGTGAGTTTTGCGGCATGGAGATCCCTCTTAGTCATTTCCACCATCAGCCTGAATATTTCCCCGAGATCAAACCGGACTTCTCACACCTGCAGTGGGTGCAGGAGGCGCACAAGAAAGGTATGAAGCCTGGATGGTGGTTGTTTGCATCTTCATGGTTTATAGGTGGTTAGAATTGCTGACCGATGATATTGTTTGTGCTTTTGTGGTTGTCTCTTTGTATTGTGTGCAAAGTTTTTTTAATTTTTGGGAGTTGGTGACGACTCCTCTTTGATCAATGAATCAATGATGTCTGGGATTTTCGAATTAAGTCCAATAAGCGTAAATCCGAGACTTAAGGCGTCATGCAGTGACATGCAGACTTGGTGCATCTGATGCTCAGTGTTCGACTGAGGCGGGCGGGGGTTCCGTATTGATTGATGGTGAGGCAACAGAAGGCTGACGCAAGATGAATCAGTGCTTTCTTAACAAGCCCCAAAAAAGGTATTGATCAGTTTGTTAACCTCCAGTCCTCGAGTCTGCCACAGGTCAAAGCGCTGAACTCATTAAGCCGAAGCCCAAAATTGGGCCAGGAGTTAAGTCAGTGAGTTGACTAGACACAACGGTGCTGTCTGTGGAAGTCGGTGCTAATCAAATATTAGCAGGCAGCCTAATTTTTGATTAGCCTACTTTTAAATCCACCACCAGGCCGTACCTAGATGCTACAAATGGAACAGTAGATGTGTGATGTGTGTTGAATATCCTCACTTTGAGCTTCACTTGTTTATGCAATTTAATTTTTTTCCTACATGAAAAGAAAAAAGACAACTTAATACATTTTTTAAATAAAACATAAAAATACAAAAATTTTATATTATTATTAAAATCAACTCTTAATTTAACAGTTCATTTTAGGTCAACATCAACTAAAATCCAGCTGGAAACATGTAAAACAATCAAATCTACTAATAATCTAATATTTGTTCTTCTCACCAGGGTACATTCCAAGTTACCTGGACAAGGATGAGCTATGTGTAGTGTGCGGGGACAAAGCCACAGGCTATCATTATCGCTGCATTACCTGCGAAGGTTGCAAGGTAAAACAAGGGAGTCCTACTGCAGTTAATAGGCCTTTTTCACATCAGTCACTTTGACACAGAATAGTAGGGTGAACACATGCATTACCAATGACACTACTTTAGTGCGAAAGATCCTTCAGTTAGCCAACAGCAGCAACCCTGACTCTGTTTGACCTGAATTGGAACAGAACCTTAATTAGTATCATTGGTAACACTTTACCCTGCTATTTCATGTCAGAATGGCCGCTGTGAGGTCTATTCGGTGTATTTTCTCAAGGCATTTCTGAGCGCATTGTCGTCCGCTCTCCAGGGTTTCTTCAGGCGGACAATCCAGAAGAACCTCAACCCAACCTACGCTTGTAAGTACGAGGGGAAATGCGTCATAGACAAAGTGACCAGGAACCAGTGCCAGGAATGTCGCTTCAAGAAGTGCATCGCGGTGGGAATGGCAACTGACTGTGAGTATTGCAAGCCCAGAGGCTCATCCAAGCCTCTGCTGCTGTTTTTTTTTTTTTTTTTTTTTTTTTTGCTTTTTAATTTGGGGGGCTTTTTCCCTTTGAAAATAGACAGGAAAAGGGGGTAGAGAGAAAGGGGATGACATGCAGCAAAGGGCCACAGGTCAGACTCAGCTTTTGTGTGTCTGCTTCTTGACTTGGTTGCTGGTTTCTTTGTGTTCAGTGTATCAACCTGGTGAGCGTTGCAAGTGTGCAACCAGAGCGAGCACTTTCCCTCCTCCTCCTCCTCCTCCTCCTCGTTCCTGTCCACTCTCATTGTCTCCCTTTTTCTTCCCCCGCCCCCCTCCCTTCCCTCAGTGGTGTTGGACAACAGCAAGAGGCTGGCCAAGCGGAAGCTAATTGAGGAGAACCGGGAGCGCCGTCGGAAGGAGGAACTGCAGAAGACAGTGTGGGACCGACTGGAGCCCACCCAGGAGGAGTGGGACCTCATCCGTATGGTGACCGAGGCCCATATGGCCACGAACGCCCAGGGCAACCACTGGAAGCAGAAGCGGAAATTCCTGGTGAGACATCCTCCTCCCTCCCTCCCACCTCACCACAGCCTTCATTGTATTGATTACCCTGCCTCATCCACCTCAACCCCCCCCCCCCGGCCCACCCCTTCACAGACCCCCCCTCCCCTCCCTTACATATCGTGCCCCTGTCTCCTCTACCTCTACCTCCACCACAACCACTGTTCCACTGTTCCCTGTGTTAATATGTCCATGTGTTTTTTTGTATCTCCTTGTAGAGTGGGGAGAATTAGCTGGACGATGGAGAAAAGTGTGTTCCTCAACGCAGCAGCACTAATTTATAATGGAACATCTTATTCCTGTCTTTTTCTGTGTCTCAAGCAATGATCCTAATCACTAATACTAATAACTTGCTTTTTTTCGTGCTCTTTCATTTTTCTCTCTTTCTGTTTGTAGCTTTTGATTTCACACCTCACCCTTTTTTTGACTAATTTTGTTTTTTCTTTTCTGAAAAGTCTAATTGCTCTGTCCAGATTGAAAGTCCGTCTCAGCTGTTGACTTTATCTTGGGTTTCTATGGCACGATCGAAAACACTCATGCACTCACGTAAAACTGATTTGCTGTGTTGTTTTAACCGGTGTTAGGTAGAGAACAGTTTTTTATTGAAAGTTCTCATTTGTTGGTGAATTTGCAGCATATTAGTAGCATCATTTTGAGAGGAGCGAGAAAGTGACATTTGTTAAATTTTCGGGGAAAGTCAGTTTACATGCATCACTTAACACGAATATAGTGCTTCTTAGGTGCTTTCATCATGTTACCTTGTGGTATTTTATAAAAACTAATTGGAAGTTTTGATTGATTGAAGTGTCCGATCGTGGCCTTAGGGTCCGTTATTTAGAATACGCATTTCAGCGTCGTCGATAGTCGTCGGAGTGTTTCTGAGGACCTGTTTGAAGTCATGGTCCTGAGCCTGAATCTCACCATAGAAACCCATCTTCTGTCCTCACCTGTTTTCTATCTGCACACTCTTTCATCTGTCCTCAGTTTTAACTTGTTTTCTTTTTAGTTGCCTTGACACGGGTTCTTCATTGAAACTTCACGATTCCTGTTGATTATCCAACAGGTCGAGGAAGCTATGCTTCTTAATGAAATAACATGTAATTTATTCTATACTTCTGACCAGAGTGCAGCGGGGGTGAAGGAAACTAAGGTAAGACACAGCATATAGAAACTTTTCTAAAAACATATGTACTGCCTTTCAGCTTGTGTAGTTCCATTATCAATATCTGTGTTACTTTATGTCATGAATATATTAATTTACAGTCAGATACCTGCATAGCACATTTAACCTTCAAGTTCCTCCATTTTTGTATTCGACCATGAATAATACACTCATCTCCTTTTCAAAATATTAAGTTCTTAACTATAGAACGTTTAATTTTTGTGTTCAAACTCGGAGACTGTACAGACACCTTCTTTCTTTCTCGTTTCAGCCTGAGGATATTGGTCAAGCGTCCATGGTCAATGCACCTGAAGGAAACAAAGTGGATATAGAAGCCTTCAGTCAGTTTACAAAAATAATCACCCCTGCCATAACCCGAGTGGTGGACTTTGCCAAAAAACTGCCTATGTTTTGTGAGGTAAATTTATACTGAAAAAAAATGTATAGTTTTTTTTTGTTAAGTATTATTTTGGCTTTTTATTGCCTTTATCTGGTAGTGGCAGTGCCAGCTGAAGATAGACAGGAAAGGTGGTCAGAGAGAGGGGATGACACGCAGCAAAGGGCCGCAGGTCGGATTCAAACCCTGGGCCGCTGCAGCAAGGACTCAGCCTCGGTACATGGGTCGCCAGCTCTACCCACTGAGCTAACCGGGCGCCCCTATATTGATTTTTGCTCTAATCTTTATTTATTAAGAAGTTTGTTTATTTCATTATTTAAACCTTTAAAGAAGTATGTAATTACCAGTAACAACTTTAGGGAAAATATTCATTTTCACAGCAATAGAGTCAACTCTCAACTCAAAAAGTTAGCAGTGTCTGCTGCAGCTCCTTTATTAGCTTGATTTGAATGATTTTACTTGATTCAGGTATATTTATTATTTTACTAAATACTAGCAGCATTTCAGCTTGTTTAGCTGGAAATGTTTTATTCCACAGTTTGCTAATAATAACCATACTATTAGGTCGGCTAACTGTTAGTGTCACATTAAAACATTTGCACTCACATTAATGTACTGCTAATGCTAATGGTATTAGCTGTCAGACTAACTAAGAAACCGTTAGCTCAGTTGAACGGAGCAGCTTCTTTATGCTAGAGTGACTAAAAACATTTTTCCTTTCTGTACGATTTTTGGAAATGTTATTTCCCAATTTACTCATAATAAGTAATTAACCATATTATTAGGTCAGCTAACTCTTGAGCAAATAAAGCATTTGGACTCCTGTAATGTATTGCTAATGCAACTGTTCAATTAGCTGCCTGAGAAGTTAGTCAGCATAGCTTCTCTATGCTAGAGTTCACAATAGAAATGTACATTTTAGTAGATTTTAAATGTTCAAATGTTTTTTTCTTCTATCATTCCCTGATTGGAACAGTATTTGAGCCTGCATGCTATGGCTACATTAACCATATTCTTCTGCTAACGCTGCTTATCTCTTTCTCCTTCTAACCAGCTGCCTTGTGAAGACCAGATCATCCTGTTGAAAGGCTGCTGCATGGAGATCATGTCCCTGCGAGCTGCTGTTCGCTATGATCCCGAGAGTGAGACCCTCACGCTCAACGGCGAGATGGCGGTCACGCGGGGTCAGCTTAAGAACGGAGGCTTGGGCGTAGTCTCGGATGCCATCTTTGACCTCGGCGTGTCGCTTTCCTCCTTTAACTTGGATGACTCTGAGGTGGCTCTGCTACAGGCTGTCATCCTGCTTTCATCCGGTAAGCACCTGCTGTCTGGACCCACGTCACAAGAGGGTTTTTCTCTTATTTTTAACATGGTCTTACATTACTGCCGGCCATTTTCCGAATTTTGTTTAATTTCTTTCCAGATTCTAGGAGGACACGGATTTGACTAAACGCTAGCATTGACTTAAACACAACTTCCTAACAGACAGGAAGATTTTAGGGAAACAGTAAAAAATTATTTTTAGAGAGTAAAGTAATAGTTTATTATGGAATTGTACACAACAAACACAAATGCACCATAATTGTCCTGCTGTCTCAAAAGCAGTGTTATTTCTTTGTTTATGCTTTGTCTCCTGCACAGATTGTGTGTACAGTATTTTTCTGACATGAAATCCATAAGAAACTACAGGTCAATCAATGAATAGCCATAATCATTGTGAGGAGCTTTGTCCAGCTAGCTTGGTTTTGGCTCCAGCACCTTTTCTCTGTGTGACGCTCTGCATCTCATTGAAGATCAATACTGTTCTGCTGTGTGTTGTACATGTAGACGTGACATGGGGATAACCTGCCCATCTGTCTGGTCCTCTGTCAGACTTACAGTAGCCACTGGTGTTTAATCAATACAATTTTCAAGACCAATATTCTTGGATTGACAATTCAGAATATTGTGCAAAGGTTTAAAGAATCACAACTATTTGCAATAAATAATGAAGCTTCTGAAATTAAACCATTGAATGTCTGAATAATTATGTAATAATCAGTTTTGTGTTGGTTTAAACAGGTTACATTTAAAGCTTCGGTAGGTAATGTTTTGGTCATATTTGGTGACGTTTCACTATATCCTGACAATAATACATGAGAATCAGGTTCCTCTGGCTCCTCCTGGTGCTCCTAATGGCATTTGCAATAAAAACAACCAATCAGAGTGGTTCCGCGTTGGTTTTGTTTTGTAGTTACAGCATGATCAATACAATTATTTTTCAAAAAAACCCATCTAAAAGCAAAACTAAAAATGTAGCGTTAACTTCATTAATCCAACACCTGACAAAATCATATTTAAGGCTAAAATTCCGATTATTGAATGGTAGAGTTGTCAAGTCCTAACAACTGGCATCATATTCATGTCAACCACGATATATATCTTTCTAGTTATCAAACTACATGGTAAAGGTACATAATTATTCCTAATCCATTTAGTGAACTAATTAAGAACATAAATCAGATCATGCCACACATTTTTTTAATTGCTTAAGAAGAACTAAATAAATGCATACAGTCCCTGTGAGGGTCTATATATTAAAAGACAGTTAAATGTAGGTTTCAGGGCAATGTTGTACCAAAGTTGACACAAGAGCACATTGAGACTTGCTGCTGCTGTGAGAGAATCCAGTGATTGTAAACATTTATTACATTCATATGAAGTACAAGTGAGAATTCTGTAAAGTGCCCGGCTCAGAATAACCTGGAAAAGTCAGGGTTGTTCAGATTTATTACAATTTGGACCTATTTTTTTTTTTTTTATAGCTGTGGCCATCATTTCTACCACCTATAATTCAGAGTAATCACTGATGTCGGGGATCACAGAGACATCACTACAGCAGCAGAGTCAGACGATCAGACAGGTTGTAAACCATCTAGCCAGTTAATCCAAATCACTTTAGTTGGAGGTCAAATTTAAAGTGAGCGCACTTGAAATGTGGTTGATAATCCCACATGGCACAGGAAAACTGTGTTCACAACTAGAGTAAGTAGGGTACATAAAGCGGGAAGTCAGTCTTTTTCTCTGTCCAATACGTTTAATATTTTTATCTTATTTCCTTTTTTTTTTTACTTGTCTTTTTTGTGACTGCTTGTATCTTGCCATAGTTATCCATGTTGCAACCCGCAAACCAATTAACTTGTTTCATACAAAGTTATTATTATTGATGGGAATAATGGTCTAATAAGATCCAAGTTGTTAGAAACCAGAATTATCCCTGAACCTGGACAGAAATGTGTCTTAAAGTGTGGTGCTGATACCATCTGGGCCTTTGTTGATGCACTAGATCAGTGGTTCTCAAACTGTTTTCCGCTTAAGCACCCCTTGACCAACATAAAACAGTTTTTGTAGAAAAAAAAACGCTGAGATGCTACATCGCAAATGTTTAGAATCAATCACTATCTCACGCCAAACCAGTTTTTTGTCATCATTTAGTAAGAAACAAACCTTTTTTCAGAGGCTTACAGCACTTTTAAGCTGAAAATCCCTGTATATGGGTATTTACTAGTGTTGATTTATTCATGTCCAAATCTGGACATTTTAGTGTAAAGTATTTGAATTCTACATATTTTGCTATGAAAATGCATAGTGACGGCCCTCTACTGGTTGAAACCAGTCTATTGCAAATACATTTTGCTATCAGCTGATGTGGAGGCAGGTGACATATGTGCTGGCAGCTTTCGTCACCAACCAACCACTGCTTATATAAGACCAACATCTCCACTCTGCAGACTGTGGCCTGCTACGTAGCCGTAGTCTGAGACTCTACCACAGACACTGGAGAGTTAGCCTCTCTGAGCCGCTAGCTTAGCTAACGTTACAACACAGGTAACACATAGAAACTTTTACAAATGGACATGAGTGTGCTTCTAGTGACTGTAAAATTGCATTGACAATACAAATATTGATAATAAAATGTTGTTTATCAAACTTAACATGTATGATTGAACTTATGATTTATATTTTTGAACTCAATTTTTTTTCACTCACTGTTGTTTCCTCTCATACAGTGTACACATTTCTACTGTAGGCTCCTGCAGCACACCAATAACCAATAACATGGTTGATGTCCCTTTGTCAACAGATCGGTCGGGCCTGAGTAGCGTGGAGCGAATCGAACGCTGCCAAGAGGAGTTCCTGCTGGCCTTTGAACATTACATCAATTACCGTAAACACAAAGTGGCGCATTTCTGGCCCAAGCTGCTAATGAAGGTGACGGACCTGCGGATGATCGGCGCCTGCCACGCCAGCCGATTCCTCCACATGAAAGTGGAGTGTCCCACCGAGCTATTCCCTCCTCTCTTCCTGGAGGTCTTCGAGGACTGACCAATGGATTTTAATGTATGTGCGTGTGCGTGTGTGTGTGCGCGTGCATCTGTGTGTGTGTGTGTGTGTGTGTGTGTGTGTGTGTGCATCTGTGTGTGTGTGTGTGCATCTGTGTGCATCTGTGTGTGTGTGTGCGTGTGTATGCGTGTGTATATGTGTGCGTGTGCATACGTCAGCGCCTGGGAACCCTGGTGGTCTCAGGGGTGGAACCAGCAGAAGGCCCGTCACAATGAACTTTCTATTAGCACTACTGAGTGTCACTTCATTCCATATTTTAGGAGTAGCTCTCTGGTCTAGTTTTGGATGGAACCATTCCTTACTGTGCGGGTACATGTGAATAGCATTTTGTTCTTTTTTTTGGGTTTGTTCTGTTGTTGTTATTGTTGTGGATATAACCTCTCACCTCGGATTTTACTATAGTTTTTTTGTGTTGATGATTGTACAGTTGGCATAATGGTGATTTTATCAACACTTGTTCATTCATTAGAAACCATGCAATTGTTCCTTCCTATATTTTGAAAAACTCAAAATGGCTGCTCACCTGCTACACAAAAACGAGACATTGTTAGCGATCCGTTAGCCTTTCCACCCCACCCGCTGGACTTTATTGGACCCCTTTGTTGGTTGATATTACCTGTACATGTAGTCATCCATTTGGTGAGCGTCTGAACTGTTCAGTGCCTCACCATCATACTGTGACCTGACCCATTAACAGCAACACTCATTCTAATGGACAACAGCTCACAGGCCTTTGTAAGTCTCTGAGTAGCCACCCATCATAATGTTAAGTCACAATGCTGCGTTCCATAGATGTCGGAAAAATCTGAATTTTGCAACAGAGCGGCAGAATTCTGAGAACCTGGGCTAAATTTTGTGACATTAACTTTTCTGGGAAACCGATGACATCTACATGACAGCGTATACTGTTAACACTACACAGCAATACTGTTAAACTTATAATCCTCAAAACCCACAAGTAAATTTTTCAGTAAAGTATGAGCATAATTCTGCCCAATACTTACCTTTGTGGTGAACAGCTAAGCATGGGATTTTTGAAATGTGAAGGTACACCGACAGCTAATGTGCTAACTACCTAGCAAACATTGCTAAATATCATGGACAACATAGGCTGTACGACAGCATATTAGGGCTATTGCAGAAGTAAAAAAAAAAGAAAGGGGGATGATATTTTGAAAAATACACTCAGACATTCTGTACATTCATTTGGCAGAACTCACCAAGTCCGAAATATGCAAGAGAAATCTGTACTGTATGTTTTCTAGAACATCAAACCAAACTCCATTCAAAAATCTGGTAATTTAATCACAACTTAATTCCCATAGCATATCTCTCAATCCAAACTGTCCGAAATGTGTCACGCTGTGAAAATAAAAGAAGCATATGAAATATCAGGCAAACCCATTCTTAAATTTTGAAGGATTACTTCACGAATATTAACTATGCTGAATTGAGGAGCGGATGGATGAAAATAACGTATAAAAAAACGTAATTAACACACATTGTGAAGGCAACATTTTAGACTAAGTGATGAGCTTAAAGGTAAATGAAAAAGACATGTATTTGGAAAAATGTCTGAAGATTTGTAAATAAAACCATTTATTGATTTCTAATACCACCTTTAGTAATTTCTATTCAGCATTTCTGACATTTTATAAACGGATTAATCAAGAAAATAATCATCAGATTATTCGATAATGAAAATAATTGTTAGTTGCAGCCCTAAATAAGTGCATTTTTTATAACGCAGCACTTGGAATGGCAGTTCAGTATTTTAGGCTACAAATGTAGCTTCTTCCATGGCCCTAATCCTCTGTCATAGCTGCGTACATTTATTTGGGCGAACAAAATCTTGCTTTCAAAAAAACAACAATCAGGAATCACACAAAGCTTGTAACTCCAAGCTAACCGCCGGCCATTCATACTTCCAACATTCAAAAGGAACGCAGCAGTAGCATTAAAATGAGCGTGTTGATTATTTCCAGAGACTGGTCAGGACTAACTAAAGCACATAATGACACTGATGTCAGGAAAAGACAATCATATAGTACTCGTTTTTTTGTGTAACAATGCCACATGCTGTGCCAAAACCAAGTGAATGATGCCCTCCTTACCGAACCCCTGCTGGGCTTTCAGAGCGATACCGAGACTTGACTGGTTATGCTAGTTAGTGCATGCCGCTCACACAGACTTTTAGTCCACGTTAGCAGCTTCTACAATACAACCGTTATGAGTTTTAAATGTTTCATCTCTGACATGTTGCCGCACTAGTCCCACATGCAATGATTTCAAGCAGTGTGTTGTTTTTTTTACAACTCCCCAAAACTGGGAGACTGTATGTTATAACAGTAACGTCATGGTGCTATGGTGGGTTGGGGAAGAGGCTGATTGAACTGTATTGTTATTTACATGCAGAAATGAACATTATCTGTATGTACAACAGCCCACCACCTTCTTATGATGGCATGCATATTCACTAACACACAAACATGCACATACACAGTACATACAGTACCCTGTACACATACTGTACACATACTGTACACATGCACATTTATGCATGTGCCTAGATAAGATATGGGCCAGACCCACCACTGTGACCAACCAGTGGGATTTGGAGGCCAAGTGAACTTTGGCTGGCCCAAAAACAGTAAGATTCCTCATCAGCGAGGTACACTGAGAAAGCTGGTGAGATTGTGAAAAAACGTAGCGCTCTTTCCTTTCTTTTATTTTAGCCGGTATGTTCTTTTTTTTTTGTTGTTGTTGTTCTAAAAGCCTCTCTATGGTATTGTCGTTTGCAACGTGTCAAACGTTTGCTTTGTATATCTCGCTTTTTTCAAGCTTCACACTACTCCTCAAAGCAGCTTGTGTTTTTTTTTTTTTTCTCTTTTCTGTGAAGTGATGCCTTTTTATCAAAGCAATAGACTTGCTGCAGTGTTTGAATGACCCGGACCTCACACACACACCTCACAAACTGTACAGACTCAAAATAAATGCACAGACAATCAGAGGGAGAGAGATGAGCGAGGGAACAGGCACCCAGGCTCAGGCGGCCCGGTTGGCGGTGAAATGGGCCGTGCTGAGCCAGAGCCAATTGGAAAAGTAACATTGGCAACGTTTACATGCACCCCTGTTGTCCATAATCCTATTGAGGTTAGCACCATGTTAAGTTGTTTGCAGGAGCCTGCTTGGTGTCATTAATAAGAGAGTAGTCCTGGTAGAAAACCTCCAATAAAGATCAAAATCATCTCCCATTAGTTAGTTCTCACTTTTGTTTCTGCTTGACCAACAATAATGTGTGAATGTCACTCGCCACTGTTACAAGATGAACAAAAGTGAAAAATTGTTAAATGTGGTAAGTTATTACAACCAGGGGCTGGTTGCACAGCTATGCATATGTCAGACTGATCTGTAGAGTCGCTCTTAATTTTGCTCTGGTGGCCCATTTAAACCAAATAATCCCAAGAACAAAACTCAGGAACTAAATAAATGAGGACCTAAAAGTCCCTTTGGTGCGTTTGTGTGTCCGTTTCTATTGCATCTGACGATTAGACTACATCTAGTAGATTGCATGAGCAAATTAGATCTAAAAAGCATGAAAAAAGTGCAATGAGATGACAGCATGTGGTTGTGTTGTGTAATTTACTGCTGCATGACTGTTCAACCTTAGTACAGAAACGCATTGAAACAAATATCTCTCGTTAACTTGCTCTCTCTTACCTCTTTTTAAAACTTTTCGACTAGTCTCAGGAATTCGGCTGCATAACTATGTCTAAACGTCGACAACATTTTAAGAAATTCCCATGCTACTCTCCAATAGGAGTTGGGAATGTGAGGTCGTCAAGAGCAAGTCAGCCATTTTTGGAGGATACCAAGCTTTAGCACCCAGATAGCTAGGTAGTCTCAACTCGTTAAACTTGGTGTAACTTGGCTAAATGTCAGTTTCAACATGGTCTGTAACGCTGTTGTATACTGGCCTGTAACAGCCAAACGCATGACCAAACAAACAAAAAAACTTTGATCATGGACTTTTCATTCTTTCCCAACATAACTAAGCAGGGGAGGGAATTTAAACTTTATCCAGCAACATCTAGCTTGCAAGCTCATGGCTTGGGGGATAATGTTTGCATTTGTTGCTCATGTAAGAATAGTTTCACTGATCAAGTAACTTTACACAACAAACCAGCCAAATCTAAAACCTAAACTTTAGGTTTAGGAAGATATTTGGATTCTATTAGAGGGAAGGACATTTCGAGAAAAGTCTAGCCATTTGTAAGATCTGTCAAACAGCAATGAAGTCCAGTGGTAGCACACCAAATGTTAACACTCACCTGGTGAGACGGCATGGTGACACTATGCAGGGAACAAGGAGTCTGTGGATGCTAATACAGCTAGTGCAAGCAACAACGAGCAAGACACGGATATTAAACCGTTTCCAGCCACAACTTAGCCATGATACATTTGTCTTTTTTCCCCATGCCATAATAAATAAATAAATAAATAAATAAATAAATAAATATCTACAACAAACAAATGTTAAGAACTGTATTAGATCACAATGTATTGCATGGAATGGGTCCGAACTGTTACCTATTAAAATGCATCATCCCTGAATCGTATCGTAGGCCATCTATCTAGATACGTATCAGATTATCTTAAAAGGGAGAGATGCACACCCCTAGCAGTTAAATACGTTATGCTCCAAAAATGGCAGTGTCAGAATGCTCTGCGATTCCCATTCACTATATCCTAACAACTATGGCTTGCTTGCTTGCTTGCAGTCTGATTGAAAGTTGTACATGTGCTTTAGCAGTTTGGAGGCTTGTGTTTGACCACTCATTGTGATCAGTGCTTTAACTCCAGCCTGATAGCTGCTGGACCCTTAATACATACTACCTCAGGAGCAGGGACTTTCTAGAGGAAAACAGTATAAACCCAGCACATGTTCCCTATTAATGAGTGAACAATCCAATGCTTGGTGAATTCCCAATGATATGAAGAGCCGACATAAAGGATGAAAAAGTGACGTGGCGGCCACAAGCCAGTTGCAGCTATGTTCCTTAGATCAAAATGCAAGTAAGGTTCTGCGAGTCCTTTAGTTTCTGTAAGTATTTCTGGCTTTCTGCACAGATGAAGGGCCACAATCAGAGTAAAGACACTTGCACAAAATAAAAAAATTATAATTTCAAAGCTGCATTAATTGATTTTTTTCTTTGCCACCAATAAGGGGCAGAACTCCACAACACACTCACAAACACACAAACTTGAATTTGTCTGCTTGATGTTTGGCTTTCTTCGCCAGCTAGTTGCTAACTTTGTTTGACGTTGGGGTTTGACAGATAGTGTACAGTGGGTTTATCAGAGCTTCTTGGCTGAAAAACAGCTGCTTGGAAACAGAGCTAATGGGGTTTAATGAGAAACTATACATTTAGTTACTCAAAACTAAAGCAATGAGCTAAAAAAGAAAAAAATCTCTGTGGAGCTGCAGACAGAATTTTCTGTGGTGACCACTGTCACATTAAACATTTGATGGTATTAAAGTAGTACTGTAGTACTTCTAAGCCTAAAGTTATTAGCCATTTTATGTCCAGGCTATCAGAGCAATCAGCTTTTCGGGGGAATAATCACAGCGATATCACGGCTGATCACATTAACTCTGTATTATCCTCGAAAGTTAATCCACCTGCAGGTATATTTGGCACAATTTCTTTGACATCTTTCCAGTGCTCCTTCTTTCCTTTAGCTTTTGCAAATCAAGGTTTGTGAACTATTTTCATCCATTTCCTTCGGTGAACTTGCAGTGAGGAACTAAGGCTGCAGGGACAAAGTTAGTTATTAGTGGGACCAAGAACTCGCCCTTCCTGCTTATGGGCAGCGAGTATAAAATTAAGACAGACTTCGAGAAAATCTGAACGGATTTTTAAAGATGGTTTCCTGAAACTGAACAACTTTGACATCGGCCTAAAGTGTGAGTTTTCGTTAAACCTAAATCATATCCAAAGTCTGCTTGTGCAGCCAGCCCCAGGTTTCTCAAATTCAAAGTATGAACTTTAAAAGCTAATTAAAAGTCCTACTTTAAAGTTCTTGACCGAGATGTTTGGGCATTGCTTTCTAAAACCTTTTTAGGCCAGAGTAATATTAATGTTCATAGCCTGGCTACATCCTTTACCACATCTTGTGCAATAGAAAAACAAAAAATAGAGTTTCAAAGATGAACTAGATAGACATTACAGCAGTGTTCTCTAGTCATGACATTTCAGCTTATTCACATTGGAAGTTAGAAGTTTAATTTGATATTAAAAGGAATGGATTGTTAGCTCAACTAGGGTTGATGTTTTATAGAAAAGTAAGCGACCAAAACCTAACCCCACCATTAACCAAAATTATTAACAGTCACTGTAAAGCTGCATTAATATGTTTTAGTGAACTACTTGATGGCAGAACTTCATAACAAGCTGAAAATCACACTAACTAACTGTTAGCATGCTATATTGCCTATTTACACACCTGCAGACGTGGAGCTAGCATGATTTTGGAGTTGTGTTTGTGGCGACCTGATGAATGTAAGTCTAATATTAACTCTTGTCCAGTCTCTTTTTTGGTCTCCAAAAATATCTGAGAAAAATATCTGGCTTAGCTGCTACTGTACTTACTTCATGATGTTTACCAGCTAGCAGCTGTCCGTCTGCCATTTGGTGGGAGGGAGGTAGACGCAAAACCGTGAAGTTGTGGACCATAAAACCACTTTAAAGCACTAGCCGTGTTTCCATCAATGTTTTTCCATAGTAGAAGTATGGTGTTCGATCCTCTTTTCTGCATTGTTTTTCACCGTTTTAGATTCGCCTGGCACTCTTTAAATTATGCCATCTTGTTGCGCCTTCTTCTCTTGCGACTGGATAATTTAGTTTATTTCGTGAACCAACTCTTAATAATCACATAACAGTAATGGATGGAAACAAGCATTCATTCGCATTTTCTTTTGCTAAATTACTCAAAACTTGGTTAAACTTTTCGATACATTTGGATGGAAACACAGCTTATGAGGTTAAAGAGGCTAAAATGCTTCATCACTGAAAGTAACCCCTTGACATTACATGTAGTCATTTCACTTATTGTTCATATAAAATAAATAATTAGTGCAGCTCTAACCCCAGAAAACTAACTTAAACTTAAAAAGTCATTTTTTAGGGATGCACGATATGGATTTTTTTCAGTTGATACAATAACCAATACCTGCTTCTCATGGCCGATACCAATACAATAACCCATTTCACATTTTCGTATTTTAAGTTTTCATAACCGGTAGTTTATGCCCACTGAAGTTTAATTTATCTGCCTCAATAATTATCGTGTATTCGTAGTACTGTTTGACCAAATTACATCAAAGTACACATTTGAGAAGCATAACAAACTTTAACTTTTTGTAGTCTGTGATACAATGCGTGAGTTTTTTGTAGGATGTGTACAAAGTGGCGTTAATGGCTGTAAGAATATGTTGGATTTTTACACGTCACACACCATAACCATAATTACTTGAATTATCATATGCACAGAGCTGTCGGTGCATGTAAACATAGTCAATGCTGACTGGTGGTTCAGAAAAAGGTTTACTGTTCCTGAAGAGGTGCCAGTACGCTGTTATCTCTCCCACGAGTTGTTACTCTTAAGGTTACTCAGTTACAAACCAATAACAAGAGTTGCACCATAGAAAGCTATTTTACAGTAAAAAGGTAAAAAGGATGTATATTTTCAGACTGCAGATTTTTTTTACGGATGTTGTTAGCATAATATGAACATGGTATTGTTTTGCATAGCGAAAAAAAAAACAAAACAGTATCTTGCTCTCAAATCCATTTCCACATCTCTGCAAAAGAACTACGAGCAAGACGTTATGAATTATAAAAAACACTTAGTGCATTAGTTTTACGATTCAAAAATTTTTATTAGAACTGTAGCTGGACTTCACTGTCAGTACAAAGCAGCACAGCTACACACAGACACATATAAGGACAACTTCTTGGTCAAATGTAACCAGCATCAGAGATCGTCCACCGTCAACACAGACTTCTCTCCTTGTGTGTTTGAGTGTCTTCTTGTTCAACTCATCTGTTCAACACGTACTGGAAAACCGTCACGGAGAGAAAGGGAGATAAAGTGTGTGTAGGTGTAGGAGTGAATCTGTGGCAGCAAAACAGAAGATGAGGAAATTCTGTTCCAAATGTGCTTTCTTGCACTCGGCATTGTACTGGAAACATTGTCCAGCTCTGGACAGTGCTCTGACATGAGCATGGAGGACCTCAGGAGGAAATGATATTGATGTTCATGACTGACGATGATTGCAGCTAATGTGAATTGGCTCTTGAGAATAAAGATGGTTTTGAGAGAATTTGCTTTTGTGCTTTTATTTTTGTTGAAATTGAATATTCGGTGAATTTCCTTACCTTTGTCTTTTAATTGTGTATGACTGATATTAATTTAAAATTGCTACACAGTAGATTATATATATATATATATATATATATTATATATTTTTTTTTTTTTTTTTAACCATAATTACATTGTAAATTTAGTTGCTTATTATTGTAGTTTTTTTATGCATTTCTTTATTTATTTGGGCCTTAATTGTCTTCTGTACCTCGAAAATGATTCATCTGCTTGACTTTCTTTTTGGCTCAGGATGGGAATGTTTCGTCCTGATGTTTTCGAATGCTTACTGTCAAAATGTGTTTTCACTAGCAAGAAACACACCATCAACAAGTTAGGTTTAAGTGATTTATTAACAGAATGAAAGATATTGTATTATGATCAATATTGAGTTTCTTGGATGCTGTCGCATTGTGGAGAATATTGGTGGGCACGACAGACCCCTAGGACCCTTCAGAGAGAAGGAATTAGAGGCTCTACTAATTCAAATGAGATCAACCCAAAGGCTACTTTTCAATGGCGGGAGGGGTCTGCGTCGTGCAAGTTTGACAATCACTTCACTCAGTGACCAATCAGGTGAGTGCAGGTGTGAATGTATTGTGTATACAACGAAATGAATGAATGCCTTTCAGGACAGACTCTCCAAATCCTTCAGGAGAGATCACACTGCCTTTGAGGCCATTTGGAACAGGATAAACACTTTTGCTTTTGGACAACATTTTATACAAAGTAGTTAGTTTGAAACGCACTGAGGCCTTAAAGGTACCCTGTGGCATTTTCTTTCTATTAAGTGTTACTGATCAAATGCATTGTGAATCCTTGAGGACCCAAAAAAGTGTTGGGTGCAATGCCTTCTTCATCAAACATCTGCAGAGCAGCACTTACCTTTGCTAGTGCACACATTGCTACCAAAGGTTTCACGCTTTTCAGCTTAGAAACATAGCAATGTGTATCATGTGTGTATTATGCTGTATGCGTGTGCATGAGCAAGAAACAAAAAGGGGACCCAATCATAACATTGGACCTCATGCATGAATCACACGTATGTACAGATTTGATCTTATATCAGTGCCTGAAATGGACCGGTACTCAGATTTTTGTCCAAATGAGTGCTTACCCTGATTCCCTTGTAAATTACAATTTCTCACCCAATAATATGTAATAATAATAATAATAATAATAATAATAATAATAATTAGTGCCTTTCAGCCTTTACTTTCATTTCACAGCATTTATATACATGGAAACAAATTGTGTCCTCTGCATTCAATGAGAGCAGTGGGTAGCCATGGGCACAACTTGGGGTTCAGTGTCCTGTTCAGCATAGCTCACCTGGTAGAGCTGGCACCCCACGTACCAAGGCTGAATTACTAGTATAGACCTGTACCAAAATACAACATTATCCAGTACAATACTTAGTTTTTATACTATAGCAAATATAGAAACAAAACAATTTCACTCACTCCCTCTGGAACGGTCGACTGGTCTGCTGATTCTCCCAGTTGGCCACAGCTGTGGTCCCACAGCACACCCAGGAGGCAGGAGGAGAGAGTGAGTGCAGGTGATCAGTACAGACATGGACCCAGATAGGACATTATCCAGCAACGTTTTCTTTTAATCTAGAAAGAATGGCACGACGCCAATACTAATATAAGGCATATATATATATATATATATAGCCTATAAGTTATTTTCACGATGCCACTACAAAGCTGTCAACTGACAGCGTGCAACAAACTAAAAGCCATACTGTAGCAAACAATACAGCAAAGAGTACGATAAACATCATTACACTGACAATCCCACAGAAGACAATATGCTGCACCATCCATCAACATGCATTTCAGAAATTCCTACTGCCATCAAAAAGCCCCATTTATGCAAAAAGCACATTGTGTGCAAAGTATGAAGGAGTAATGTACGAAACAGAGCACTCTATCACAGTGAAACAAAGTGAACGTGTGCCACTTGCATAAGCAATATATATTAAACAATAAAGCAAAGTGTGAGATTAACCTTCAGTTCTAAACTCATTTTATTCCCTTAGCTGACAAAACAACAGGCTACACTAGCAAGTCCTAAATGTTTGGCTGTGTAGGGCGGTACAGTCTAATGCATTTCCAAAATTTAAATCTGCAGTAAGAAAGGCAAATATTTTTGCCTTTGTACAAAAACATTAGATTTTAAAGGTGATGTAAGCAATGGTATGTAATGCAATTCTAATCCAATACACTTTTGTCAAACTCAATGACTATATCGTCACGCGCCGCTAGCTTTCTACTGTGTGTGCAGTGAAACAAACTGTGTTTGTACACAGCCCTGGCTCTATGAATGGGAAACTAACAAAGTGCATGGGGCAGAGCCAGCCAACACTAACTTGTTAGCCATTCCAGCCAATATGAGTGTCAGGTAACGTTAAATTACACACAGACATTTAGTTTACATTTAGGTTGCCAAGATACAGTAGCAGAAGAGCTGTCTGGAGCTGGTGTGCTGGCCCTGGCTAACATTAGTTAAATTACTTGTTGTGTCAAAAAATGTGTTTTTGTCTCAAAAACTGAACAGAATTTGGACAGGATGTACATAAAGAAGAATGAAAGGAGATGACAATGGTGGAAGTCACACAAGAGGATGAGAAGATGACAAGAAGACATGAAAGATGTTCGAAAGGAAGATGGACAGTAACATTTACGGGGTTGGGAGGGTTACTTTAAAAATGGAATGTAAATAAAAAATTACCAGTATCACAATATTAAAGTAATGTCACTTGAACACTGCAGAGCTGTATCTCAGCATTTTGTTCATTTCTGTAAAGAAAACTAAACTGAAATTGTATTTTTTAAAGTTTAGATTATTATTTAAGATATAAACTTTGAAGATCAGAGCACAAGCTATTTTCACAGAAGCTTCACTCTCTGACAAACAGCCTCGTCCTGCATTAGAGAGGTTCAAACAACCAAAGAGCTGATAGAACAATGAGAAGAAAAGACTGAATTTGTCCAAAAACAAAAGTCCATTAAGTGTGTGTGCGATTATTAAAAAATAAAAACTACATAACACAGACAGCACTGTGTAGAGTTCAGAGTTAGGGTTTCATCTAAATCTCTACTGTTGGGCTTCATTGTACAGTTTATCTGTTAAGATAAGATGCTCTTTTATTCATTTGACTGACTGATTAACATAGAGATCTCTACTGTTAATGTTATGCATTGATCATAAAATATGTCACTCATCTTATGTCAGGGGTCCTGCGGTTACTCAATGACAGAAAGGGGTCCCTTAAGGAAAAAAGGTTGGAAACCAGTGGCTTACACAATCCGAGCACATAGTCAGCCCACACATGGCAACAAATTAGGCTAAGAGCAATGTGTGTGTTTTTAAAAAGGCCAGATAGTCAGCACATATGATACAACTTACCAATGATGTTTTTATCCAGCAGCTGTCAGTCTGAAGAACAACTCAGGAAAAAAAGACATCGTCTTCATCACGGTAGCTTTCCAGCTACCTGCACGGAGCTAGCTGCTGCTCGCTAACAGTTCACCTGTTTGGCTGGCGGAGCTAACAGCTAACTGTCAGACATGGAGGGTTGAGTTATTCTCTGAGAAGAAGTTTATGAGTGAAACACACTAAGCCACACAATTCCTCATGTTGCTCTCTGGACTTTTCACACTTTCATAGTTAGTAGAAACAGCGAGGGAAAAGGAAATAGAGCAGGCAGGGTGCTAGCTTTTAAAACTCCCGGTGTTCGTGAGGGGGTACAAACAGACCACAGCGCCCCCTCTGGTGGTGGCTGCGTACTGTCGGAACCCCTTGGCTTTTTCACTAACTCACTTTGTACTATCAAAAATAATTTTCCTTTTTTCCAACATGGATTACAGCTCCTACTGCAATATTGATTTTAGTTGACACAATGACACGAGAGAACACAATTAAATAATAATAAATGCAAAAAAAAGACATAAGTGCACAACATTTTTGAGATTACTTAGACATTTATTTAATATTGTGAACTTATTAAGTGCCTGCCACATTGGAATTTATTTGGCAAATCAACATTTGTGTATGTAATATTTTGTTATAATTATAAGAAGAAATTCAATTTCTTTTGCAGGCGCACATTTTTGGCATCTTTATGTTCAAAAGAGGTTAAAGCAGATAGAGGTTCAATATTAATCTTTACTTTAAGGCTATCATTTTAAACTAAAATATAAACATAAAGCCTTTATTGACTGAAAGTTAAAATGACTCCTAATTTGGTTTGCAGAGGGAACATGAGCAGGCTGCAGGGAGTGGCAGTGAGTGGACAGAGAGGAAGCTGCTTATTGCCATCTGCTGATAGATAGTGACACTACCACAGTCACACTGCTTTTGCTTTTAAGAGTGTGACACTGATTGTTTGTGTCCAATTTGCCAAGTGAGACAACAGAGACATCGTGTGATTAATTCTGTTTAAATAAATGAAAACCAGACGAATTCAATAACCACTTTACAACATGAATTGCATTTATAAAATTTATTTATATAGATATATTCATCTATACAGTTATGTATGATAGTATGTATGTATTTATATAGAAATCTATGCATACTGCAATCCTTTCACAGAGGGGAACAGAACCACATATCAGCACTGTTAACACAATGACAGAAGCTCTGGATATTAAAAGGCCAGACATTCTGAATTCACCCACAGGGAACAAAAAGATGGCATCGCAAAAATATCTGAACACCAGCAACTCAGCTGTCTCCTCGACTCCAATTTCTTTAAATTACAATCACTTCAGTGATATTACAATCATATTTTATATGGAATAGTCCTACAGTTTAACTACACTCAGCTAAAGTCTGTACAGTTCATAAAACAGAAATGAAGGTTATTCAAGCAAGTTGGGAGATACTGGTGCCTGTGAGACATTTTCTCTGCCGCCCAGCGTCCGACAGCAACATTGGGGTCTGACTGGAGCGCTGAGCTGCTAGGAAACTTAACACAACCTGGGACACACAGGAAAGCATACGCCGAGAACTCAGAAATACGTTTTTTTTTCTTTTAGAAAAAAATACATAAGAGAGGGGAAAATGTATCTCCAAGATGCTCAAACGAGTCCAGAATTCGATTTAATCGCTTCAGTGCCTCTCCTTTTCCAATGATCCATGTGCAGAAATCAGCCAACAATTGACCCTTAAGTCTCACCACTTTTTGCTCTGTGCTCCAATAACAGCTGAGCAACCCTCAGTGAACTTTCTCCTCTCCTGTACTTAGATATGCTATGTGCTAGGCTAATCTATGTTGAAAAGGAAAAAGTCAACCAAGGCTTACTCAACTCAACTGGAGCATATAGCAACAAGAGGCAGGACTTAGGAAGGGTCAACAGAGTGACACTGACACGTTTGATTTGTCACAATGCCCAAAACATTTAGAAAAATTACCCACAACTGACCAAATGGCATAGCACGTAAACAAATGCATGAATAGCCTGAAATAAGACATTGTCCTCTTTTGCTTTCATTGATTCATTCTCTGGTGGACTCCACATTCCTCTCATTGTTGTCTGCTTTTTTGGCTTTTTTTTTTTTTAAAGAAAGAATTCTAACTCAGTCGTCTGTGTCAGGTTTTTTTTTTTTTTTTTTAGGTTTACAACCTTCCCCCTTATCACATAAGCACCTATTCAGATTAACGTGTGCCATTGAAAAGTATACACAAGTTTCTACACTCCTCACTATATATCTCAAATCAAAAAGCAGTCACATATTGCACTATGAATGCAAAAATACCAGTCTACACTATACAGAAAAGTGCTAACGTTTGTACAACTGCAAACATACAGTATGCTACACACAAACACAAGAAACATATACATCAATCAGTGTGTCTGTATGTATGCATTACCATCACACAGGCAGTTACGCCCTACAGTACAGTACAGTACAAGAACATTTTATGGTCTTCTTCCCCCTTTAAATGTCAGCTTTGAGCTTTAGTTCAACTTAGAGACTGAAGGGACAAAGCCTCCTGGGAGAAGTGTGGAGGTGCATGTGTAGTTTGGGTGGGAGGTGAGGCGGAGCCGCAGGTCCGTGCGGCCCTCCGCTGTCCCGTCACAGGTCGTTATAGTTTGTGTCGGGTTGTCAAGTACTCAAGGAAACTTCAGGAATGGACCTTGAAGGCCAGCAGCTGCTCGGAGTGCATATTGTTGAGCGAGCGCAGGTCGGGCAGTTTGAGCAGCAGCTTGGTGAAGATGGCCGACTCGTTGGGGTGGTTCTTGGTGATGAGGCTCCGCAGGGCGCGGATCAGCGTCTCCTGCAGGGCCTCCACCGAGTTCACGTTCTCAATGCCGGAACGATCTGGAGGAAGGGACAGTTGACAGTGTTAGGCTGAGACATGATGGGAATTAAAAATAAGAAAAACTATATAGTTTGGGTTCCAATGATACATCACTGTCATCTTGACACATGTATGAAAAGACAAGTACAGAACATTAATCAACAATTATTATAATAAAAGTAAGTCAAATTATCATACTGACACTGAACAAACAATATTTGTGGCTAAAATGTCAGCCTTAAGCTGCCAGGTGTGTTGGACCAATGCGTTAGCAAATAGCTACCTTATTAATTAATAGCTACTGGCAATATGGTAATTGCCACAAATTCAGTGGTTCCCAACCTTGGGGTTGAGACCCCGCTAAGGGCCAAAAGATCAATCTGAGCATTCATGAGATGGTCACTTTTCTCTAATCTTTTATTATTATTATTATTATTATTATTATTATTATTATTATTATTATTATTGTTGTTGTTGTTGTTGTTGTGAAACGCTGGAGAGACAAACCCACCTGCAGAGACCAGAACCACAGCAGTGAAGAGGCTCATCTCCTCCTCACTTAGGCCCAGGTTGATGAGCTTCTCACTGAAGTCAAACATGGAGTTGAGGAGGTCCCCGGCCCCCATGGCCCTCAGAGTGTCCACGCTGTATTTCTTCCCGCCCAGAAAGGTGACCGTGCGATCCTTCACGTCGAAAAGAGAAGCAAAGCGGACCACCAACACCTGCAGAGCACAAACACCGCTCTGTCAGTCTTGGTATAGCACCTGCTATTACAACATGAAAACTCAGAAATGTTCCATGGCACGCTGCTTTGGAAAATATAGCGTACCTCAAAGGTGCCGGCCTTCAGCAGGCTGACCTGGTCAGGCTGGGACAGGTCTCTGAAGCCTGGGATCTTCTTGGCGAACTCCACCACCTCCCTGACAGCCGGGGTGAAGCTGTGAGAAAACTCCTCCCACACCTCGTGGCCGGACTTCTGAGGGTCCACATGGGCAGATGTGTTCATTGGACAAACCTGAGGGTGGGACAGAGGAGAGAAGGATACATAAAACACACTGCATACAACCCACAATAATAAGTTTAATTCCTCAATTAAAGCATGCTGAGTTGGCTGTTTGGTCTCTTTATGCTCTTACCAGATACATTCTGTTGCCTCCTCTCCACAGGGGCCCACTGTAAACTCCATTGGCGAGGCCCTCGGTGGACGGAGCTCTGAAAGCTCCGTGAGTGTAGGCTGGACAGTGGCTGGTGGTGGCGGCACTCCTGGACAGTCTGAAGGGGCAGTGGTTGGCAGCGTTGTCCTCCTGAACCTGGGGGCCAAGGCTGGAGGGGGGGTCTTGTGCTGTCATGGTGACCAGGTTGTTGTGGTGGTTCCAGGTGTCCTGCTGCTCCTCATTCCTGTGGTTAGTGGTGTTTTTGTCAGAGCCACCGGTTGAGAGGCCTGTGGGGGGCGGGGCCTCAGCTGTCAGGCTGCTCTGCTCCTGGTTATACATGAAGGTCTCCTGGTGGGCCCTGGTCACAGAGCCAATCACCTCCTCCTCCCCACTGTCCGACGTGCTGGGCGAGGACGAGCTAGGGCTGGTGTCCATGGCCACAGTGGGTTCGGGGTCCAATTGGCTGGACGGTGGGCAAGAGGGGGTGGGGCCAGCATCCTCAGAGGTAGTTTCTGTGGCAGTGGCTGGCAGCGGTTTGCCGATAGGCAGTGTCTGGCTGCTGTGAAGCTGGCTGTGCAGCTGACTGTTGTTCATCATGTTGTTCATGGCACTCTGCATCTCCAGCAGCATGCGCTGTTTCTCCCGCTTGGGGATTCGGCCAAAGCGTACAGCTGAACAGAGACGAGACAATCATTTCAGAAGGATTCACCTTTATTTTTTTTAACAGTGTGGAGTTGTTATCAGTTTTTATTCTACAGTAATTAAATGCCATACTTCTCTCTCTGTGTTCAATGTAACTTTGGGTTTAATTAAAATATTTAGCAACCAAAAAATACCACCCTCTGATTGACCCACTCTCACACACTGAGTAGCATATATTATATTAAATATACAGTATTAAATAAATGAAATTACAATCAATTATAAAATGAATATTCAAATGAAAAAATACAGAGAACATCTATTTATCAATAAAATAATGAAATAATCCAATACTGTATTTTTTTCTGATCTGGGTTTTAAAAATGTATTTGATCCATATTCCCAAACTTTATGGCAGTGCAATACTAAATTGCTGGAGCAGTCATTTCAATACACTGAGACTATAATACAATGATCAAATCAAGGGTAATATTCTGTTTACTGATTACTGATACATTGTAAAGTAAGTTAGCCAGACGTTTAACAGCACATGTAATGCTACTTGAATTAAATTAGCCTTAGAAAACATCCTCAGTTCAAAGTATCTCTGTTAATTTACATAAATAATAAGGTAGCCCCCTGCTCTTCAGCCTGACAGTGAATACTACAGATACTCACAGTCTCTAGACATCCCCACCATCAGGCATTTCTTGAAGCGGCACTGCTGGCAGCGGTTCCTGTTGATCCTCATGATGGGGCAGCTCTCGTTCTTAAGGCACTTCTTATACTGGATGTTCTGCTGGATGCTCCTCCTGAAGAAGCCCTGTGTGTTCGCAAAGACAAACGGCGCACTGTGATGACAGAGGTCACACAAGTCACGGGGGGGGGGTGTTACAGAGCCGGTCTGCACTGTGTGTAGCTGACTAGAGCAACTGAAACTGCTGTTTTTATCATCTACGTCAGTGAATTAAGGATTTATTTCAATCAAACCAGAGCTTACAAAGACGGTTTGGTGAGTTTTATTTTGTTTCAATCCACTTTAAAGTGTCTTTTACAATTATCTGCTAAGTAAAATTACTGGTTTTTGGAGTCTGGCCGTAGCACTCATTTGTTTGGCCCCGAGATGCTGGTGCTCTAGTGTGACATCTAGTGGCGAGTGAATTATGGATATAACCTTTAATTCAATTACAATATTTGACCTTAAAATAATTTTAGAATGTTATAGAAAAGTTATTATTCCTTGCAGCTTTGAGTTTCAGTAAAACTGTATAATATTAGGTAACCAATGTAATCCAAAATGCGCGTGTGTGTGTTTCTCCTCTGAGGCGTATTGTGGTGCGTTTGCTCCCCACAGTTAACTAGGTCACACAGCGACGTGAAGTATGAGGGGCAGCTGATATAAATATGGGGAGAGTGAACTAGTTTCCCTGTCTCTGGTTGTAGCTGTACAGATGGCTATGCTGGTTGTGACCCACTTAAACCAAGCCCAAAGTCGTGAAAATCATTCTGATTCAGCGTTGAATGAGTGTGTGTGTGTGTGTGTGTGGAGCCGCCCTCACCTTACAGCCCTCACAGGCATGGACACCGTAGTGGAAACCCGAGGCCACGTCGCCGCACACCTTACACAGCAGCACCAGGCCGTTGATTTCTGATTGATATAAAAATGTATTCTTACAGTTCGTCTGAAAATTGAACACACCAGTGATTTTGCATGTTTTCACGCCTTTACTGAAATTAATATTTTGCACTGCTACCAACCATTTGTGAAAAGGGAAATTGAAATATTCAGAGGAATTTCTTCCATTCAAATAAATTCTCTTTTTTTGTACCACAGCTGTTTTTAAATGGATTGTTTTATGGTTCTGAACCCCCCCTCCCCCCCTCCCCTCGGTGCTACATTCACTGCATTAAAATGAGCAGAAACTAGTCACGTTGAAAGTAACAAATTAATAGAGTCTTGGTTTTGTTTGCTTTAATGTCATTTCTTCATTTCTCATTTTGTCACAAGTTAATTCAAATCTGTCCTCTGGCTCTGCTACAGTCAAATATACACTCACATCTTCTTTGCTGGATACCTTTAAGTTTTTCTGCTGACCAAAATTAAATTGTCTGATGGCCATAAGGGTAATTGTTCAGTGTCCTCCACTGGAATAAACCACTTCTGGTCGACAACGGCGCTTTCAAAGATGTGCATGCCTGTAGAGCGGCAACAAGCCGAGCCGATAAGTTGTCAGCTATCACATAAATCGCCACATTATTTTGAATGTTGATTAATTGTTTTGAGTTATTTTTGCCCCCAAAATCTGATCTCAGTTTCTCCAATGTGAATAATTTCTGCGATGTTTAGTCCTCTATGACAGAACACTGAACACTGTTGGATTGTGGACGAAACAAGACATTTGAGGAAGTCACCTTAAACGGTTATCAATATTTTTCACAATTTTCTGACATTTTATGGACCAAACAACTGATTAATTGAGAAAATGATTGACATATTAATAGATAATAAAAATAATTTGTGGTTGCAGCCGTACATATGTTTCTTTATAAATATGAAAAAAATACCCAAATACCTAAAGATTTACAAAACACATGAAAACATATTGGAGTGACCGTCTTACTTGTGATGCCACATTTTGCCGTGGAGGAGGAGCGTCCGCTTTTCTGAGTCCCTGGAAGGTTTTGGCCGTTGGCGGGGCGCGGGGGTTCAGCCGGCTGACCCAGCTGCTGGCGGCTGGGTGAGGAGCCGTGCAGTGGAGAGGACGACTGGTAGCTGCCGTTTGACGAGTCGCTGTGGCACGACTCCGGGCTAGAGCCAGAGCTGGATGAGCTGATGTAGGCTATTACGCCTCCTGGTGTACAACGGCAGAGAGAAAATGGGCCATGAGGACGGGGACTGCGGCAGAAACTCAACACTGTGCAGAGATTTGTGCTGGAGAAGTCCAATGTCAGGTGTATTGATTTCTTTTTTTATTGTCAACATGTTCCATTACAAGATGTATTGAGTGTGTATCAAAGGCTGATATATCTTCTTCCTCTGTGCCATAGAGCTCCATTGTTGTACAGAAACTATTAAAAACACATCAGTAAACCACACTGTTGCACTGGTTGACATGTTCCCTCATTACTATGAACACACACACTGAATAAAAAATAACAGATATAGTAGGAACCAATGGGGACATTGTGTTTTTTTTTTCTTGGAATTTGTTGACAAGGAATAAAAAATAAAATCCTTTTATTTTCTCCTGACGATATTCAAGCGTCTATAGGTGGCGCCTCTTACTTTCACGTCTGTTCTGTCATGTCACTACTAATGACTGACTCCCTGCTGTTCCCTTTCCCTTCAAATGAAATGCTAACTGCAACTATCAGCAGCTCCAGGCCGTTTTTTGCTGCCGAGCCAACGGGCTTAACATAAAGAGGGCAGATCATAATACGACAACAGCTCCTCAGCCAGTAGGAGCCGAGCAGACGGGCTGCTGCGGTCGATGAGCCAGTTTTTCCCCCTCAACATAGGCTGACCTGATTTCTTTCCTTGCCATTCTCAATGATTAGGTAACAGCCATTACATAATGTCAGCTTCACAAGGGTGTGTGTAGTAGGTAGTCTGGCCCATCCCTGCAGCCAGTCACATACACAGACTATTTAACAAATGGATCAAGTGCCAAATCTTACTCGAAATGGGTTGATTTTATTTCACCTGACATGTACTCATATAGTTCAACTTAAGTAACACTGCATATATTAGAGTTTAGTTTATGATTCTTGGACAAACATTGGCCGTTAACACACAGCAGTACTGGCATTAATGTGGAATTAAAAGCCCACTTCAACTAATTCAATTACAGATTTTCTCTGACAATAAGCATGCCTGCAGTAAAAACTATAGACAACAGACCAAGAACAGAGCGTCATTACAAACATAATAGGTCTGCTTAGAAATTCCCATTATCATTGTATTTCTGTGTTAGATAATATGGAACATGTTAAGCCAAACAAAAATATGTCTAAACATATTTTTCTGAATAAAACCTTAAAAATACCATGAATCACTTCAAGTGTAATGATATTAAACAAGGCGGCCTGATTAAAAACTGAATGTATTTATTATTATTTTATTATAATTACATTGTACTAGAGCAAAGTCAAAGTAACATGTTAAAAAGATTTTCTGTGGAGGACCAAGTTGCTTGTTTACTTGGTTTTATTTATTATACCCAACTTAAAAAGCTGGAACACTGAATACAGAAAAAGTACTGCATTCAGGTCCCATGGGAAATGTCTCTACTCAATAATTACAACAACCTGTTGTTCTAGTTAAACCAAATACTTTGGGGGAAAAACCCAATGTGTCCTGTTAACTGATTTTGGAAGCAGTTGTCATTAACTGACATGTAATGAAAAACGTTTGACTATATCAAACGGAATGTAACACTAACTATCAAATTATTATTCTGTTAACTGTTAACTGAATAAATGTCATCAAAACCAGAGATCAAATTATATATTTGCCACATGAAAACTGCGCTGTCCTATCTAGAAATACCTTTAAACCAAATGCCCTGATTAAAGAATGCGTAACACACAGAGTCACTTGTGTATCCCACGGGCCCTGAATGCACCGTAACTTCAGACGTTTTTTCAACACGCCCCCACGTGGAGCAAGCATGTTCTTTCCCCGGGAAAACTGGGTCACCGCGAGCCTCTGCGAGATACCTCACGTGTATCCGCGGCGGGACCCCACATCAGTTTGATGGGAGGAATTATGCAATGGCTACGTCACGGCGCCGCTCGGCCAATGAGCGGCGACGCACGGGGAGCGTAAACACAGGTGCACATGGCTAGGCTCATGGGTCCATGTGAGAGGAGACGACTGCAGTGCTGCTCGACCCGTGTATACCTGGGTAATAACAACAGCCCACTGCTACTCCTAGCCCTGTTTAACATAAACACCCAAGTACAAGCTTTAATGCGCTTCGTCACGATGTAAAGACTATTAAAACAGAATATTAAAAGACGACAACGTGCCCTCATTATGCTAGTCGTGCTACTTTGACCAAACGTAATTTCACTGTAGCTAACGGCAGGCTGTGACCGCAGTATTAAGCCCGTTGCAATAATATGCAGCCACTGTCATTTACCGAGAGTTAATAACGAGAGTTAAAGCGCACTCACCAGCTTTGGTCGACTCCATGTCCTGTGAGTTTTGGGGGGTTTTCCTCCTCCTCTGCTACCTCAGTGCTGTAGCCGTCTTTCTGTTTGTGTTCAGCAACTGAAAAGTCGCTGAGAAGCGGTTGAGAAACTGGCCGTTAAGCTACAACATTTAAATGAACGACGCCGGTAAAGACCGTAAAAACTACGACCGAACGTCAGCGACAGACTAGCGCAGATATAATTACACAGGAAGGACAAATCTCACATCAAGCCGAAGCTGCAAGTTTTCACACAACCGGATTTAACGACCCAGAAATGGCAGCTTTTCGTCTTCGACGGTGGTAGTGAATTAATTCTGTCGAAAAGAGAACACGACGGGTCTGTTTTCAGTGCAGTAGAGCTACAGCTAGAAACACAAGCCGTGTTCCATTGAAAGGTAGCACAGGGAACGGCTGCGATGAAGGCGTCGCTCCAGCGGTTTGGCGGACTGCTTTTGCAGGGACTGTTTCGAGTACCGAGCAGTGTGCAACCATGTGACCCATTTCATCGGCTCCTCCTCCCCCGCAGCCCTGCACTGGTGTCAATGTAACCCACTGACATACTTTCACCAATCAAAAGTGAACAAAGACAGTTGCCAAGTACTGTGTCCAAAAATACGAGTGCGTTGCAACATACTGCGGTGTGTAATTCTGCTGCTTATGAAAGATAGGCCTGAATCCAACGTTTGAAAGCGCCTTTTATTTAATTAGGGCAAAGGTAAAACTCAAACATGTCTCGTGAAAATATCTGGCAGGAATCTTAAAACACAAGTTCGCTTTATGCATTTTATCTTATGATACCTTTCTTACATTGCAAAAATAACCTTTACTCCTACATACCATAAAACGTGTGAAACATGTTATTTTAACCCTTTAAGGTTGATCCTCAGTTATATTGTACCTCCATTTAACAACCATTCTGGGGGGCTGGACCTCACTGATTACTGAAAAACACAACTTTATCAGTGATATATGAAAAATAAATAAAAATAAAACAAACCTACAATCAGTTTTGTTCTTAATTAAGACTCACTCATTTATAAAACCTTACATTGACATGGACATTATCTTATCTCTAAGTAAAGTCTAAACGGGAGGTATAGCAGTAGTTCCCCTTAAAGTGAGGAGCCCTGACTAAGTGACATATTTGATTTCCTATTATATACAATACATAACTGATAAGATAATGAACCCACACAGTGAACATAATAACTACAGGAAGCAATTTGGGTGAATTTTGAACATTATTTCCTGTGAATATTACATCACAGACAAGTATTCCTGAAAGTTTTTGGAACTTTTAATACAATTCTCTGCAATATGTTTTTTTTTTTTACAGCCACACAATGTTGATAGGCTTCTTTTTTGACCAAACTGTGTGTTTCTTCTCATTGTTCTCTTAGCTCTTTGGTTGTTTGAACTGCAAAACAGAGTTTTCCAAGTCCAAGGTGAGAGTTCTAAAATGTGACTTGGAAAACTCGGTCGGACATTTTCTTTCATTTCTGACAAAGAAAGTAATCAACCGATTAATCCATTATGATAATAATCATACGTTGCAACTCGAATGGAAAGCACATTAATGGTACTTGTATCATGTGAGATATGTTTGCAAACACACCAGTGTCTGGCAGTGGATGCTGATTAAGTAAGACACACATCAGACCAGTGGATCCAGTTCTAAGGCCTAATGTCACGAGGCTTTCGAGCCATTCTCCCCACCCCACTAAATTCTCACAAGGTTAACATGACATAGAAAAGCTTCCCTCCTCTCCTTCTCCAAACAGCAGGCAGGAGACGGCCACATAAGCGCCACACAAACATAGCACCAGCCATTTCCCAAGGCGCTCTCAATGCCAGCTAATGTTTCCTCGCTCACTTCAATGAAAGCTTTTAGGAGTAAGCAATCCCACGCTGCACCATCCCGTTCTCCACTTTCTTTTTGGGGGGATTTTTACAGAGAAGGTCAGGGGTTACTGCTGCTCCACAGACTAATGTAAGAGGAGACAATAGAGCAGGAGTAACATGAGAGATGACCGTTGTTCTCACTCCCCCCTTCCATGTTCTCATTTGACCCGGTTGGTCAGGGGAACTATACTATAATAGGACTATAATATGTTGTCACCATGACCCAGTGAGGGAATTCAGGAGTTAACATAACAAAGTAAGATATACAAGAACACTTTATTGATCCCTCACAGTCCCATATTGCTGCAGGACAGTGGTAAACACTCTGACACTATGAGTAGTACCAGCACACACAGTTAAAAAAGAATTATTATATTATTGTTACCATGCACAAAATATAGGGTTTACATGGCTCATGAAAATGAATATTGCACTAATATTCCCATTTACATGCAGCTGTGCATATTCCGATTAGAGGTTCAGTAGGTAACTTATATTTAAAAAAGCAGGACTTACAGTTCAATATACTGCGACACTGTAAGCATCGTGATTTATTGCAGGGGTATTTTTTAATCTTATTTTCACAAAACTGCCATAGTGTACCACCATAGGCCATTTCTTCAAAAACTGATTCTGTTTCAACCTTTGTGCCGCAGGTTGCAGTGTTTCATTCAGACATCTGCTGTGGCCTAAACAAGCTACCCCCATTCAAAATGACTGGTTTGGATATGGGTGCTATAAGCTGACTGTTTGATGGTGGGAACTGATGGTTTACCGGTAGATGTGATGAACTGATGATGTCTTTGTGGTTTATTCAAGTGTAACTTTTAGCAGAAGCATAAAGTGACACGTCTGTGTGAGTTCTCTGAATTCACTGTGGTGAATCAGGGCCTCAACGACTAGCTGAGTGTACTAATTTAGAGGCGCTGTTGCTTCAAAACCATAAGTATAAAATGTCACCTCATTTTACTTTCTCACGAGTAGAATGTGCACAACAAGTGAAAGTACTGTATACTATGTGCCATGTGCTTCCTGGTTTTACTATGTGACTAATCAGCAACAGGTGATCACACACTACAAGATCTTTCACAAAGTCTGTCTGGTCTTTAAACTACATTTCATCAGTAGTCATTAATAACAAGCACATCATGTGTAATTAGGAAAATAGTTTAATATCACACACCATTGACAGCATACTGCCTGATCAGCCAATGTCAGTAATCAATACACACATTATTAAAACATTAAACAGCAATGTCAGACATTTTCATACTGTTACAGTTACCTAGTGTTTCTGTGGTAGTGACAAATGTTAAAAATGATGCATGTTAGCAGTTTGAATTAATCTAAAAGCTCCCTGCACCAAACTCCCTTTAAGAAATATACATAGTAACAATTCCTTACGTGTTTGTGACAACACATAACTCTAGAAACTTGAGCTTAAGTGTGTTGTATGTTTACAGTCTTCTTGTCAATTCGGCATCAATATAATCATCAATTTAATTTATAAGATAAACTGTATTTTGTACAAAGTTTTTTGGCTGTTACCCAAGTAACTTCCTGTCTGGTGCTGGAGAGAGAGGCTAACCGTGTCGGCTCTCACAGGCAATTACTCGTTGATTGGCGCCCCAACACGACCAGATATTTGGCCTGCTATCTTTTGGTCATTGACGAGCCCTCTTAACGCATCTTTGAACAGTTCACACAATGATTGTCCTCCCGGGAGATCTGAGGGGAGCGATCTCCAAAAACTGTTGGCGAGTGGAAAATCTGGGCTAAAATCATGTGGTCTAGAATAATGAACTGGGCTTAAACTGCTCCACTAGAGCAGCTTAGTGGTTGGACTGGGCATCTCATCAAATGTGAATGTGTGAGTGTTCAGGGCATCACTGAAAAAACCCAGTGATGCTTTACTGGTTAAATTAAGGTTAAAATTATAGGCTACAATAAAAGGATCAAGGTAAACAAGCTATTGGCACCAATACAGGCCAAACCTGAAGAACAGGAACAATATATTGTACAGCAGTTGCTATTCTGAATCCTTATAATTTCATGACATAAGTCTGTAATCATTTAAAGTCAACATGGTGCTGTATTCTAAAAATCTTTCCATTTGTTTAACAAGAACAACAACTACATTTAGAAGCTTCACATTATTTTTTAAAGGGTTGTCATGTTAGTTGTGTGATTTCAAACTCAAGTTGATTTGCGCTCAGGGTTCTGGAAAGCAGATTTAAGTATTTACCTACTTTAATAGGAAAGAAAAGCATTATTGCAGCACTTGCAAGCCATTTGAAAAGTGTAGCCAACTATCCTCGCTGGTCTGGATGAAATTATAATCTGCTAGAATCACTGTAAAACCTGACGAGTTAGTTAGTTCAACAGTTTGAGGAAACCGATTACCTTAGGCTGTTTAAGTTTATTAGCTCAAACAATATAAGCATGAAAAAATATTTGATTTGAGTAGAAGTAACTTGTAAGTAGAAGTATTTATTAAAAAGGTAACTTAAAAAAAATAATTAATTACATTCAGTTAATTTAAGTTACATTCATATGCAGCATTTCTCCAAACTTATTTAAAATCAAGTTTAAATGTACTTGTTTTTTTCAAATTATTACATTACCTGTCAAAACAGCTGACATATGATAAAAAACAATTGATAACTCATCAATTATCAAAATGGTTGCCAATTAAGTTTCTGTGTTTTTTTTTATGTGACTAACATCAAGTCTTTATACTTTAGGGGATCATTAAGGATTATTTGGATTTATACTTGGGCTTATGATGATTAATAAACAGAATTTAAAAAAAAACATGGAAAAATCCTAAAATATACAACATTAAAATGCTTACATTTTTCTCATGATATAAAGTCAACTTCAAGAAAATGAAGTTGGGTTTAATTCATGTCAGTGAGTGACTCCAGTTTCTTTGGAGGATTCATTTATGTTAACTTACTTCTTTTATTAAGATGTGTTTCACAGTGTATGTACAGTCAAATATTAATAAAAGCAAAGTAGCTGGAAAGAGTATTGAGTATTTTTTATGAATCTGACATGTACAAGGGCCACACTGATCATGTGCAGTTAAAAGAGAAACAGCTGCATTACTCATTCTGTTTTTCTGCCCCGACCCCTACCTACATAACACATCAATACAGATTGACTTTTAACTTCCTGTCCCTATGTAGGTGTACCTTCAAAAGAATGAAAGTGTTCCAGCAGAATAAAACATGTAAGGGAGCACTTATAAATGTCAAAAGAAAATGACATTGTGGGTTAGATTAACATTTGAAAGAGGTTTTAGTCCTTGAGAGCGCCAAACTGATCCTTACATTCCAGACAAAGCTGTGGATAAAAGTAACTGTAAGATCTCTGCGGCACATTTTGCCTATGAAACTGACTCCAGAGCTAATGCAAGGAAGGCAAATTATAACATTTATAATGTGTAAGGAAAACATAGCTATGAATATTATATTAAATTTCAGCCAATAGAACCCCCTAAATGTTACACACTGGAGATTTAAATACACAGTGTGTAATTTCTGCCACCAGACAGTCTCTCACATCAAAAAAATAAC